GTAGAACCTGGACTCTTTACCAATGCTCTTTCCACCAAAGTTGCATTCACAAGCACCTTTGATAACTATGAGCGTATCGAATTCTCTCTGGATCATAACATGGTTGATTCTACCATCAAGACTCATTTGGAGGGCGCCTGGAACCAAGAGAAAATGGAAGGCAACTTCCAACTCACTCCTAACACCAATGGTGTAGATGCTCGAGCTACCTTCACTTCCCCTGTCACAGAGAACATCCTTGTGACATTGCATCATGAGTTACTCAACAAGCAGTTGTCTACCACATTTGAAGTGAAATATGGACAAGAGATCTCTACTGCTACTGCCACAGGTCACGTGGATCTTAGTAATGTACATGACATCACTCTGGTGTTCAAGGTTGACACCCCTGTTTCTTTGATCCCTGAGATAAATGCCAATCTTAAATACTCCCTGAGTGGAGAAAGTCTCAACTTGATCACTGAAGGTAAGATTGGGGAGAAGAAAATCATGCTTAATGTAAGCGGCCAAAGGACTGTCAGTGGCGACACTACGGACATTTCTGGAGACGTTCGCTTCATCACTCCTTTCACTTACCCTCTGACAGCATCTCTCAAGCACACCCATGACATGGAGCATTTTACATCACAGTTCGAGATGACCAGGATCTGGTCTACATACGGTAGCGTCAAGGTGCACGCTCAAGGACACATGCTCTCCAAGAATGATGTAGAATTCAAGGTTGACGTTTCTAGCCCAGTAAATAAGGGATCAATCGCCTTCAAGCACACTGTCACTAACACCAAGATGGATTCCTCAGTTGATGTCATTTTCAACTCTGAACGTATTCATGTGTCTGTGGGTGGACTTCTGGATGTGTCTAGGAGCTTGGCAAACATTGAAGCTGAAGTTAATTCCACTTTCAGTGGCCTAGATGATGTAAAAGTCAGCATCGATAGCAAGAAGGATGACAACACAAGAACTTCCAACATAGTTCTCATGAAGGGAACAAAATCTGTTGTTATTGACCATACCATTACCTTCAATGATTGGTTCAACTGGGAAAACTCCTTTATTGTGAATGGAGTCTACAAATTAAGCAACAAGCAGATGCATGCTGGCTCTCTGTACAAACACCAACTTGAGTACATGTGGGATCGCCAACTTGTGCAATTCGAAGGAACTTTCGACAAGAAGATCTCTGGAAATACCCGTCAGATTGATGCCCAGGTCTCCCTTTCCACTCCTTGGACTGAGGACATGAAACTTGATTTGCACCACCAAGATGATGGTGTTGAGTACAAACCAACACTTATCATTGAGTACAGGCCTGGAATGAAGATTGAAGTTGCCTCTGTTCTGAAATGCGATTCATCATTCTTCTACACTGCATCCACTCTTACAACACCATTCTGGCAGCCAATGGGATACAAACTCAACATTGACTTCCAGCCAAGGAAGACTGCTACTCTTGTTTTAACCCGTGGAGCCAACAGAACTACTATTGACATCACAGGAAAAATTGAACAAGGAAAGGTAGATGGTGAGCTGCATATCGATTCTACATATCTTACCAAACCGGTTTCTCTGGAGGTGTTCTATGACATCATTTCAGCCGAAAAGAAAGTGAACTTGGCGCTTGATTTTGACAAGAGGTATGAGATAACAGGAGTCATTGCTGGTCACCTTAAACAAGCTAAATGGTCTCTTATGATGGACCTTCCTCTTGAAGCTGTACAAAAAGTTGGTTTTAGTGGCGAGTACAATGTTGAAGCCATGCCCTTCACTGCCAATACAGTACTAATTTTCAACACCCAGAAATACCAGGTAAATGGCAAGATCAACGTGGATGAATTCCAAATCAATATGGATTTGAATGGAAAAACTGGAAGTTTGGTCAGCAGTTGGAAACTACCAGGAGAACTACGCTGGTGTGAAATCGACTTCCAGTCACCACTTACACTGGACAACATGTCTATCTCAGCAATGTATGACTTCCGTAGTGAAAAGAAAGTGACCCTCAAGATGACACGTAACTCAAAGGAAATCAACCTTTCTGGACGACTTGAAGGACAAACCATTGTTTTTGAAGGCACAACTCCATTCAGTGGATGGGAAACCCTTAAGGCCTCATTCTTCATCTCCAGCTCTGCTGTTAAAGCCTTTGTGTCCAGGAATGACCGCAAGATTGAGTTACAGGAACACTGCACATCAGAAAAGTCAAGGGAAAGATCAATCTCACCATCAATACTCCATATGCTGGCTATGAAACCATTGCTGTTGACACAAGCTACAGCTTACAGGGCCAGGTGAAAACAGTGGAGTTTGAAGCCAAATTTGGCTTCGCAAGAACTCTCTTTGAAGGGAGACATCAAGACAAACAACATCCTAGCTCCTGAGATGACCCTCAATATCATTACTCCATTTGAAACTGTAAAGAACTCTTGGTGGAGAAGCTCACTGGGACCTGAGAAACCTTGTCAAGACTGCCGAAGTGAAGGCTTTCCGCAATGACCGTCACTACCACTGGCAGTTAGAGGCAGCTGCTGATAGTCCCCTAAAGGGTTATGCCAAATCCAAGATCACAACTCCCATTGCTGGATGGACAACAGTCAGTTTGGAAGGAAACTTTGATTTCACCTCCATGCCTTACAGGGCACTTTTTACTTACAATAAAGAAGGAGTTATCAGCACATTTGAAGTACAAGCTAGTGTAGCAGAAACTGCAGTATCTGGTGAAATTACAACACCAATCTCTGGCTGGGAGAAGATTGCTTTGAATGGCGACTATTCTCTGGTTAACAACCTTCTGTCTGGAAATGTGGAGATCACCAAGAGTTCTGACAAATATCATCTCAATGGGGAGATTGCTTTTAATACTCAGAAGCCGAAGTTGAATATTGGCATCAGGACACCTCTAGCAAATGCTGCTGATATTGAGCTGGTTCTTGATGCTAATCTAGTTGATACAGAAAAGAATTTCCACATTACCTTCAAAAGGAATGACATCACTTATTCTGCAGATTTCACAGGCCAAATGATCTACAAAACAGGATTCGTGAAGCTGCATACAACTTCGCCAATTCCAGGTTTTACATCCCTGGATGTTGATGCCAAATACGACTTTACTGGAGACGTGAAAACTGCCGAAGCCAATCTTATGAAGGAAGGAAATAACCAGCATATTTCACTGACCTCCACAGTCAATGACAACGATTTCCATGTTGAAGTTGAAACACCATTTGCTGGTTTTGAATCTGTGAAGATGGACGGAGATTACGCTTACCTCAATAATAAACACAGTGTCTCAGCTTCATTTGAGAGAATAGTCAGAAGTATGACTTCCATGCTGAGATTTCACTCAATGCCAACTCGGTTACCCTGACACTGGTAAACCCAATAGTAGACATTAAGCATGTTGTCATTAGTGGCAATTACCAGGCTATTGAGAATGGAATGGAATGTTCTCTTGTCATTGAAAGAAACCAGGATAAGTTTGAGTTTAATGCTCAAGGGTATTTTACACCCAAGAAATCAGATCTCCACCTCTCACTGGAGATGCCTGTTGAAGGCTGGAGGAAGCTTGAGCTGGATACCCACTATGATGTTATCTCCGACAAGAAGTCTGCTGAGATCTCTTTCCAGAGAGAGATTCACTGATGAAAAAGCTGTATGTTGAGGGAAGCTACAATCTGAAATATGGATCTTTTAAGGTTATGACTCCTATTGAAGACTTCAGAGTCCTAGGTGCTGAATATACACTAAACCTTGATGAATATAACAAGAAACTGGATGCTTCTGTAAAGATCAGTCAAAACTCCAATGAATGGCTTTCGAGGCACATGGACAATTCAGTGATGAACATTGTCATTAAGTTCCAGACACCATTTGAAGGTTTTGACACCATTGCTGTAGAAGGAAACCTAAACTATGGAAACAGATCTGGAAGAGTGTCATTCAGTTTGGACCTTATAAGTTTACCACCAGCATTTCCTACGCAAATGATAATATGTCCTTTGATCTGACGACTCCCTTTGATGTTATCAAGACTGTGTCCCTTTCAGCCCGGTACAGCTGGACCACCAGCCAAAAGGGTGCTACTCTAAACATCACTTACAATGACAAGAACTTTGTTCTCTCAAGTTCTCTGCAGCTCTCTACAAGGGCCTCTAACATCACCTTCCAGGCCACAACTCCTTTCGAGGGTTTCCAGAACTCCTTCATTGAAATCAAGTATGACATTGATAACAGAGAGGAGCTCCTTGCATCTCGTGTCAGTGTAGATGATCACAGCTACAGCTTTGTTGTAGGTGGATATATTGAGGACAAGCTAGCCGTGTTCAAGTGGAACCTTAACTCTCCTCTCACTGGCTGGACTGATGCCAAGTTTGTAGCTAAGATTGATCTTTCCAGTGAAAATAAAAACTTGGAAATCTCCCTTGAGAAAGAAGGAGACCTTAAAGCCATTGCAGTCTCTGGCAAGTTCATTGGCAGTACACTGGACTTTAATCTGCGAACTCCTTTCAGAGGGCTCAATAATTTCAATGTGTTTGGTTCTCTTAACCGGTCCAAGAGGTCTCTTGAAATGAGAATGATGAATGATGCAGGACAAGCATCTTTAGCTGGCAATTTCAACTCCCTCAGATTCAACATGAAGACTCCATTTGAAAGGGCAGAACAGATCTCCTGGGAGGTCACCAAGACTGGTGAAGGCTCCTACAAGGCTGAATGGAGGAGGAATGATAATTATGCCACATTTACAATAGAAAAGGATGTAAGTAAGCAATCCTTTGATTTAAATATAAAGAGTGAATTTCGGGGATGGGAGATCTTGGCTCTTACTGGAAGACTAGATCAAGAGACAAAACAAGCCTACCTCAGTGGAGCCATCAATGAACAGAAAATCACCATCTCTGGATCAGGTTCCTTTGGTAACAAAATCCAATATACCATGAAGATTGAAACACCCTATGAAAAACTACCAAAAGTATTTGAAGAGAAGAACACAATGAAGATCGAGGCTTCTTCATCCTCTTCTGATTTCCATCTTCTTTGGTCACGCTCAGGATCAGGCCTTGAAGCCCACCTTATTGTACCTAATTCACAGCAGAATACTGAAATTTCCATTAACCTCACCCCTACTCAAGGAAAAATAACGATAACATCACGATTTGAACCTATCAGGGACTACCTCCAAGAATACCATGTTAACCTTGGTCAGAATGAAATCACTGCTGATCATATTATCAAGTTGAATGGTCATGAGGTTTTCAAGATGGACTTTGAGAGGAATGCTCCTGAACAGAAGGTACACCTGGAAATTCACACTCATGTAGCAGAACGCCACACAACTATTCACTTCCATCGAGAGGGCTTTAGCAAGCTTAATTTCCTCTTTAAACGTGAGGTTCCCCAGTATGGCGAGAAACACTTCAAGGTCGACATAACTGGATCAGGAGCATTACCACAAAAGGGTGCACTTGATATTGTTGTTGAGAACACCTTCCGTGAACCAGCAAAAACCATCAATGCACGTGTTGAAGTAGACCGGACTGGTGCCCGAAAGAAAATTATGTTGGAGTTATTCCCAACAAAGTAGAGTATATATTTTTAACCTTGAATATATTGCAGACCTTGAAAGCCCACACATGGAGACTTCACTTAATCACAACTCCTAACAATCCCCATGGCAGAATATATCTGGAAACTGGAATGTTGAAGATCCAAATGATGCTACAATAACCTTCACAGTGGGCAATGTTACTTATAATGCCAAAGGCAAGCTTACTCTTAGGGAATCCACCATGATACTCTCTTCAACAGATCCATCCGCTGAGAACATTTACCTACAGTGGAAATTTGAACGAAATGGCGACACCAGAGATTACTTCCTTAAGCTTGGCCGTGAGTCCAAATACGGAATGCTGAAGCTGACGGGAACAATTACGGATATTGCTCATGTGGATATTGAAGGAGGCTTCAAGGCTGGACCATTCATGCCAAATGAGTTTCTGTTTACCTCTATGTGGGACAAGTCTAATGGTGTTGTCACTGGAGAAGGTACATTTGACTATGGAAACTATCACGGCTCCCACCGTCTGGTAAAGTTTGAGCGAAATGCAGAAAGGAAATCAGCATCCTTTGAATGGTCAGCAACTTCAAATCTTCCCCAGTACAACTCTGTCTCGGTTTCAGGAAATTATGATTTCGACCACAAAGTTGTTATCTTTGTCGTTATAAATGCTGATGGTAGAGAATCTAAAATTGATATCAACATTGCTGATATCAACCCCACAAGCTCTCGTAATACAGCAATGATTTCTATCCCACTCCTAGGACCTACATTTGAAAGAACAGAACTCACTGTCAGCCATGACTTTAGCCATCCAAACCGAAAATCTATCTCAGCTGTTGCCAAGTTTGGTCGCTCAGAATCCTTCATCAATGCCAAGTGGAACCGAAGTGATGGTTTTGAAACTCTTGAAGGAAATATAGAGGCCAAGTCTAGATTCCTTGGAGATTTTCTAATCAACGTCAGGTACGACATGTCCAATATTGCAGATGCTCATGCTGAAGTTGATTATTTAAGAACGACAACAGATGGTGATAAGAAGGAATTTAAGCTAAACTGGACTAGGAAATCCACTGATGACCATCTTGAAAATGAAATGGTCTTTGACTCCAACTTTGAGACCCTGTCACATGCCCGTGCATATGCCAATGCTGACTATGGTGGCATTTTCAAATTGTTATCTGGGTTGGATTGGAATGACAAGAAAATCAGCCTTACCCTCGAAGTTCGCAAAAACAAGATTTCTGGAATACTTACCACACCATTTGAAGGATTTGAAACACTAGAGATTGACCTGCAGTATAAGCTTACTGGTAAGGACAAGTCAGTTCAAGCAACATATCAACGGGGAGATAGGAAAGTCAGTCTCAATATGGAAATGAGCATGAAGGGTAAAAAAGGAGGCTCCTTTAAAGTTGATCTCACTACACCTTTTGAAGTGGTGAAAAACCTTCATATTGACGGTCAGTATGAAAATAAAGTGGCTCAAATTAATTACCAGAGAAACGATATTCAAATGAACTTCAATGGAAAGGCCAACATCAAGTCCAGTAAAGCTTCCTTTGACATTTCATTCACACCACCTAGTGGACAAAATATCAGGATAGCAGCCTCATATGATGTACAGGACTTCATTGATGGTACAGGAGATGAGGAGAAGGAACTAGCTAGTCTTTCACTTGAATTTGAAGGTAATTCAATGGACTTCAGTCTTCACGGCTTCCGCAATGATGACCGACTCTATGTCATGATTCATGGCACTTCCTCCTTTGCAGTGCTCAAAATGTTCCATCTCAAATTAGATTCTGAACTGAATACAGAGGCACGGGATGGCACTTTTGAACTCACTTTCAATGATTTTAAATTCAATGTAAGCAATCATTTTGAGAGACGAGCAAATAATGGTTATTACTTTAGAAGCAAGATTGAGTCTACACTCACTCCACTCCCAGCACTGATCATTGGTCTTGGCCGTGAAGGTGAAGAACGCATCATAACCATTGGTTATGGAGAGGACAAAGAGATCACTTTCTCTGTAGAAGGCAAGAACAACTTCCTCTCTGGATTTTCGGGCAAGGTTGATATTCCCTCCATAGGTTATGAAGGAGTGGAATATGATGTGGATTACAGCTTCCCAGGTGATAATCACCTCCAGATTAAGGTTGAGATTGACTTAAACGAGAACGGACAAGAAGTGGAGGCAACATTCTTCCTCGATTCAGAAGGTATCAAGGCTCGCCTGTCATCTGCTGTGCTTGGTGACCATTCCCTGCGTGTTCGTCGATCAGTGGCCCCTGATGGCTTCTATGCTGAAGCTGGTCTTGATGATTATAACCTGAAACTGCGAGGAGGCTTCAAGAACGAAGATACTGCACGTGGTGTACAGCTGGAAGGAGAAGTATTTGGTAAGAGATTCCTTATTGACACCTTGTTCCAGTCTGAAGGAAAGCGCTATTCTGAGGGTAAACTTATCATCCACACTCCATTCCATGGCATGGAAAAGATGGGGCCTATTCACCTGGTCTCTCAAAACAAGAAAATCATGGCCCATGCTGAACTACATCTTCCTTCCTACACAACACCAACGATTACTGGGGAGATTAGCCTAGACCTTAAAAAGAAGATCAATGGATATGTCACCCTTGATGTAGCTGGAGAGGAATTCACCCTCAAGTGCAATCTTGCTGGTTCCTCCATTTCTCAGGGTTACACAGGCTCACTTGAATTCTATACACCATTCCATGCTGTATCACATGTTGTGGTGACCGGTGACATTAAGATGCAGGCATTGTCCTTCCTTGACATGGAAGTAAAAATTGATGCACCTTTTGCCACACACGACCTTAAACTGAAATACCAGCTCAGTGCTGACAAAGTGTCTGGAGAAGCCTTCATTCAGTCAACAAGGTTGTATAATACCATTCAGCTAAGCCTTAATCTTCAGGCCTCAGTACTGGAAATGTAGAGGCCGACTTGACCGTCAATGACAACAAGATTAACGCACATTACACTTTGGCTCAATCCACTTTCAAATTTGACGTGACAACAGTCATTTTTGGCAAGGAACGCCAGTTCTCCATTGAAGCTAAGTATCCATCTCTGGAGAACCTCCAGGGTGTAGTTGCTGTTACTCTGGAAGGTGAAAAGCACATGGTTAGTGGAAGCCTGAACATCGTTAACAATCGCATCCAAGGAGCTATGGATTTGGAATCTGATCTTATTGAGGGGCCACGGAAACTGGTCTTCGATGTTTCCATGCCAACTGCTTCCTATAAGCAAGTCTCATTTAATATCGTCTTCACTAGCAGTGACCCTCACTCCTTCTACCTGGATTTGGATCTAAGAACTGGGCTTCAAGCTACTGTAAAGATTGATACACCCGTCTTCCCGAAAGTTACCACTACCCTGCAAGTAGCCCCTGCTGTTGCTGGAATCACCATTGAGACCCCAAAGGAACACACAAGGTTCAGCTTAGCTGGCGCCAGACTCGTAGAATGCCGTCTGACTGGATTGCTTCCCTCGAGCTGATCTCTCCATTACTGCCTGAGAACTACCTCTTCAGTGTTAACCTTGGAAGTAAACACATCAAGGCTGAGCTGCAAACAGGAAGCATAAAGCACGCTCTTGAGGCAAGGACCTCAGTGTCTAACTATGGAGGTGAATTGTCTCTCATGATTGACACACCTTTGAAAATATCAACAAAGTTACACTTGATGCCTCACTCAACTTCCAGAACAATGTTGAGATGTATATCACAGCCAACTTTGCCAACACTGTCAATTCCTTCCGGTTCAATTTGGACAAGGAAAACAGGAAGTTCGTCAGCATTGTGGAATCTCCATACGTTCCAACAGGAATGGCTGAAGCTGAAGCTATGCTCACAGGAAATACAAAGAACATGCAAATGAAGATGGCATTGAAGAATGCTGAAGACACCATCTCTGGAATCCTCAACGTTAAGATCGAATCTTCACAGAATGTCAATACCAACCTCAAGATTCTTACGCCATTCAAGGGTTACAAGAAGATGAACTTCGGTGCCCGCTACCTTAAAGATGAGGTGACCAACATTTCCGTGTATGCCGACAAGCCTCTCAAGTTTAAGGCAGAACTTCAGTTTGGAAACACCGAGGATGCCGTGGCAGCCAACTTGGTTGTTGAAACTCCCATCGAAGACTTCGAGAGGATCGAAGCCCAAATGAAGGTTCCCCTGTACAGGTTTGCTCCAAGGTGATGCTGACTCTCCCTCACAACCGCTACGGTTTTACCGCAGATTATTGGCAGCGACTCTTTCTCTCAGAAGTTGTCTGCTGGGCGTGACGGTGAACGAAGAGTCGTATGACGGATACTACTCTCTGAGAACAAAGGCACCTTACGAGCTGGCTTACGGCTACGACTTCCTCACTTGGCAAGCACGCGTCTCTCCATCTCTCACGAACCGAGCTCGTC